GCAAGAGAAAAGCAGTTAGTTACCTACAAGGGAGCACCCATACGACTGTCAGCTGATTTCTCAACAGAAACTTTGCAGGCAAGAAATATTCAAAGTGATGAAAAACATGGAATTACAACCAAGGTTGCTCTACCCAGCAAAGCTATCATTTAGAATTGAAGGTCAGATAAAGAGCTTCCCAGAGAAGAAAAACCTAAAGGAGTTCATCACCACCAGACCAGCACTACAGGAAAAGTTGAAGGGTCTTCTTTAAGAAGAAGCTAATGAACAAAAGAATCTGATGAACTAAATAGATCCAGAGACATTGACGCATGCATCAGACGATATTTCAGAGGAAAGAGAGAAGGGGGGTAGAGGGTGGGAAGGGATTAACCAAAGAAGTTATATGCATAACCCACGGACACAGTTAATAACAGGGTGAAGGCCTTGGAAGGGTGTGGGAGCGAAGTGGAAGGGATCAATTGGGGGGGAAAATGGGATACCTGTAATACTGTCAACAATAAAGATAAATTAAAAAAAAAAAAAAAGTTGTTCCAAAATAGTCACAGGGATGTAAAGTACAGCATAGGGAATGCAGTCAATAATATTATAGAAACTATGTATGGTGCCAGGTGGGTACTAGAAATATCAGGGAGAACACTTGATAAAGTATATGATTGTCTAACCACTATGCTGTATACCTGAAACTAATACAAAATAATACTGAGTGTAAACTGGAATTGAAAAATAAAATAAAACATTGTGAGGGCCCATTTTGGGCGTGATGAAAATGTTCTAGGAAAAAGAAAAAAAAAAAGTCATCCAAATTGGAAAGGAGGAAGTAAAACTGTCACTATTCGCATATGCCATGATATTGTACATAGAGAACCCTAAAGACTCCACTAAAATAAATGAATTCCACAAAGGAGCAGTACACAAAATTAACAGCCAGAAATCAAAGGCATTTTTGTAAACCAATAATAAACGCTCAGAGAGGTAACTAAAAAAACAATCCCATTTACCATTGCAACAAAAAAAATAAGATAGCTTGGGTATCAATTTTGTATCCTGCTACATTGTGGAATTCATTTATTAAATCTAGTAGTTTTCTGACTTTCTATGTACAATATCATGTCATCTGATGTTGGCTGTAGGTCTGTCATATATGGCCTTTATTATGTTGAGGTATGATCCCTCTATTCCCACTTTGCTGAGAGATTTTGTCAAAAATGGGTGTTGGATTTTGTCAAATGCTTACTCTGCATCTATTGATACGATCATGTAATTTTTGTCCTTCATTTTGTTTACGTGATATCACATTTATTGATTTGCAAATATTATACCAGCCTTGCATTCCTGGGATAAATCACACTTGGTCATGGTGAATAATTTTTTTAATATATTGCTGGACCCGATTTACAAATACTTTGTTGAGGCATTTAGCATCTATGTTCATCAGGAATACTGGCCTATAATTCTCTTTCTTTGTAGTGTCTTTATCTGGTTTTGGAATTAGGATAATGCTGGCCTCATGGAAAGAGCTTGGAAGTGTTCCTTGTTCTTGGATTTTTTAAAAATAGTTTGAGGGGGATAGGTGTTAGTTCTTTGAATATTTGGTAAAACTCCCCGGTGAAGCCATCTGGACCAGGGCTTTTGTTTCCTGGGCGTTTTTTACTTTTGCGAATAAACTTAACCAAGGAGGTAAAAGACCTGTACTCTGAAATCTGTAAGACGTTAAAAAAAGAGATAGAGGAAGATATAAACAAGTGGAAGAATATACTGTGTTCATGGATTGGTAGAATTAACATTAAAATTTCCACACTACCCAAAGCAATCTATAGATTCAATGCAATCCCTATTAAAATACCAACGACATATTTCACAGGTCTAGAACAAATACTCCAAAAATTTACATGGAACCAAAAATGACCCCAAATAGCCACAGCAATCTTGAGAAAGAAGAATAAAGTTGGAGGGATCACAATACCATATATTAAGTTGTACTATGATGCCACTGTGATCAAAACAGCCTAGTATTGGTAGAAGAACAGGCATATAGATCAATGGAACAGAACAGAGAACCCAGAAATCAACCCAAGCCATTACACTCAATATTTGACAAAGGAAGTAAAAGCATATAACAGAGTAAAGACTCTCTTTAATAAATGGTGCTGGGAAAACTGGACAGGTACATGCAAAAAAATGAAACTAGACCATCAACTTACACCACACACAAGAGTAAACTCAAAATGGGCAAGTCATGAAACCATAAAAATCCCAGAAGAAACCATAGGCAGCAAAATACCAGACATCTCTCGATGCAATGTTTGCTGATACATCTCCTAGGGCCAGGGAAACAAAGGAAAGAATAAACAAATGGAACTACATCAGAAATAAAATGCTTCTGCAGAGCAAAAGAAACCATCAGCAAAATGGAAAGGGATCCCACTAATGGGAGAATATATTTGCCAATGATATATCTGAAAAGGGGTTAATTTCCAAAATATATAAAGAACTCATACAACATAACAAAAGGAAGACAAACAATCCAATTTAAAAATGGGCGAAGGACCAAAATAGATACTTCTCTGAAGAATACATACAGATGGCCAAGAGATGAGTGAAAAAAATGCATGCTCACAGTCACTAATCATCAGAGAGATGCAAATTAAAATGATGATGAAGTATCACCTCACACCTGTCAGAATGGCTACCATCAACAAATCAACAAAAGACAACTGCTGGTGATGACGTGGAGAAAACGGAACCCTGATACACTACTGGTAGGAAGGCAGACTGGTGCAGTCACTATGGAAAACAGTACAGAGTTTCCTCAAAAAAATTAAAAATGGACTGCCATTTGATCCAGTGATCCCACTTCTAGGAATATATCCTAAGAATCCCAAAACACCAATCAGAAAGAATATATGCACCTCTATGTTCAAAGCAGCGCTATTTACAATAGCTAATATCTGGAAACAGCCCAAGTACCCATCAGTAGATGAGTGGATTCAAAAGCTGTGGTACATTTACACAATGGAATACTATGAAGCTGTAAAAAGAAGTATCCCTTACCCTTTGAGACAGCATGGAGCGACCTGAAAAGTATTATGCTAAGTGCAATAAGCCAGTCAGAGAAAGACAAGTATCACATGATCTCACTTATATGGGGAATCTAATAAACAAAATAAACTGATGAACAAAATAGATCCAGAGACATGGAAGCATGGAACAGACTGCCGAATCTCAGAGGGAAGAGGCGTCAGGGAGATGAGAAGAGATTAACCAAAGAATTTATATGCTTACATGCATTACCCATGGACACAGACAATAATGTGGAGAAGTCATGCAGGGGAGGCAGGTGTGGGGTAGAAGGGGTCAATGGGGGGGGAAAAGGAGATATCTGTAATACTTTCAGCAATAAAGATAATTTTTTCTTTAAAAAAGGGAATGAAGAAAGCCTACAGGATTTATAGGACACCAAAGAATGAACCAATATACACATTATATGAGTCTTAGGAGGGAAAAACCACACACAAAATCAACAAACCCTTAGATAGACTAAGAAAAAAAAAGAGATAAATAAATATCATAAATGAAAGAGGAGATATTCCAAAGATGCCTCAGAAATAAGAAAGATATTATGAACAATTATAATTTTTAAAAAATGGATGACCTAGGAGAAATGGATAAATTTCTAGAAACATACAACCTACCAAAATTGAATCTAGCAGAAATAGAAAGCCTGAATAACCAACAACAAAGAGACTGAATCAGTAAAAATCTCCCAAAAAGAAAAGTCCAGGGCCAGATGGCTTCACAGATAAATTCTATCATTCAAAGAATACCAATTCTTCTTAAACTCTTCCAAAAAAGGAACACTTCCAAACTCATTTTATGAGGCTAGTGTCACTGATACCAAAGTCACAGACACCATAAGAAAACTACAGGCCAATACCCTTGATGAATACAGATGTAAAAATCCTCAGTGAAAGATAAGCAAACCAAATTCAACAGTACATTAAAAGGATTATACAGGATGACCAAGTCAGATACATCCCTCAAATACATGGCTGGGTCAACATATGCAAGCCAATTTATCTGATGTAAACTAGTGCAGCCACTGGGGAAAACAGTATGGTAGTTCCTAAAAAAATTAAGTAATTACCACTCTGGCCAGTGTAGTTAAGTGGCTAGAGCATCAACCCACGCACCATAGGGTCTCAGGTTTGATTCATGGGCACATACCTGGGTTGCAGGTTCGATTCCCCAGCCCCAGTTCGGGCATGTGGGAGAGGCAAACCAATCAATGTGTCTCTCATGTCGATGTTTCTCTGTCTCTCTCTCCCTCTCCCTGCCTCATCCTTGATCCCTTCCTCCCTTCCACTTTCTAAAAAGTCAATGGAAAAAGAAAATTAAGTAATTACTGTATGATCCAGCAATTCCACCCTGTGTATATATCCAAAAGAATTAAAAGCAGAAACTTGAAAAGATATTTGTACACCAATGATAACACCATTATTCACAATAACCAAAAGGTAGAAACAACCCAAATGTTCAGCTGCAAGCCAAGAAATGCTAAGAGTTGTCAGCAACCAAAAGAAGATAGGAGATAGGAGAAAAAGCATTGCTCTGCTGGCACCCCGACTTTGAACTTCTAAGCCTTCAGAACCGTGAGAAAATAAATTCCTGCTGTTTTAAGCCACCCAGTTTGTATGTACTTTGTTATAACAGCCCTAGGGAATTAATACACAATTAATCAATGTAGTACTTGAATTCATAACCTCAAACTGCTTTTCAAATTTCAATTTATAATCTCATCACCAAGAGAATTCCCTCTTTAGCACATCTTTGATCACAATTAGTCATTTGATTTAGTCAAAAAATTCACAGGTGGTACAGAGTTCATTTCCATTTTTATATTGTTAGATTGATAAAAATTGTTTCCAGTATTTTAGATAAGATCTTAAAGTATTAACTGAATCACTGTATATTTTCCCAACTTATAGACACAAACTTACCTGAGTTTTTCCAATGCACTCTCTCGTTCAACTCGAAGTTTAGCTAAAGATGTGTTCTCAGCTTTAAATTTTTCTATTTCCATTTCCAATTCAATAACTTTCTCTCTCAAAACTTCAGATCGAGCGCTGTCACCTATAAAATAGGCCATAAATATTGTATTTCACAAGAGGTCTTCAGCAGCAAAAATACTAGCTAGCTATTAACACTAAGAGCCAAAAATACAGTAAATACCCCCATTAAAATACGTTAGAAATAATGTTTCTTAACAATTTTTCTTCAATTTTTATTGGCCTAACTTTCCATATGAAACCAGTCTAAATTTAAGAATCAAATTATTCAACCTCAAAAGAGTTTCAATCTGACAATGAATTAACACTATATATTAAAAAAAACACATTGGAATAAATTTAAAAATTTTTAAGGTTAGTATATAAAAATAGCTTAAGAACATGAATAAGTCACAAAATATCTAAAGCACAAATTAATACCAAAAAGCAAAGTTTACCTCTCACTAATCAAAGAAATACAAATTAAGACCTGTTTCAACATTAACTTGCTATTTAAGAGAGTAAAATAGGAAATGCTTCAGTCCTTCAACTACCCTTTTGCAAACTAAATCTGATCTATATCACAAGACTAAAATACACATACCTACCCTTTGACCCTACTTCTAAAAACCTAGTTAAAGAACAAACTTGTAAAATCTTACAGTTTTGCACAAAAATATGCATGGCAGCGGTATTTCTACTAGTAAATAATTTGTCCGACATTAAGAAAATTACTGAATAAAATTATGCTATATTCATATAATGATATGCAGTCATTTTTAAAGTACACAGTGTTAATGATATAGCCAACACGTTATATACCTAGTCAAAAAGGATGGGACAAGTTATAATATATATCTCTACAATGTTTAAAATACATAGGAATGCCCAGCTGGCATGGCTCAGCGGTTGATCACAGTTCGATTCCCAGTCAGGGCACATGCCCAGATTGTGAGCTCGACTCCCAGGGACATACAGGAGGCAGCCAATCAATGACTCTCTCATCACTGATATTTCTATCTCTCTCTCCCCCTCTCCCTCCCTCTCTCTGAAATCAATAAAGTCATATATTTTTTAAAAATACATAGGAAAAATGACTAAAAGGAAATATCCCAAAATGATATCACTGGGCAGTTCAGTTACCTTTGGGCAGCTCAGTTACACACATTTTTGCTCCTATACTTTTTAAACTTCCAAACTTTCTGCAAAAAGCACTACTTTTAAATTCAGAGTATTTTTTAAAATAGCTTTCTATAATTTATATTTTAAAGCACCTATGCTTTGCAAGGCATTCACAGTTTATACTATAACATGATATAATAAAACATTTCAACATAGGTTTAAAAAATCCATCACATCAACTGAATACTATACAGCCATTAAATGGAACAAGGCAGATGTATGTATATGTGTGTTAGAACAATCTTCCAAATATATTATAAGGTGAAGAATGTTATTTTTAAAGTGATGTTTCATTTGTATAGAAAGGAAATTACACTCACACATATGCTTTCATATGCATGGAATGTTTTTATCATATACAAATGCATGGGAATGCTGGTGTGTCTAGGAAAGGGGACTAGGAGCCCAGGTCTGGGGAAAGAAAGAAACTTAGATTATACTGTATTTCTTCTTGGTCATATTTAGCAAATTAATGCATGAGGTAGTTAAAAAAAAAAATTTAAGTAAAAATACAGTTATTAAAAGAAAGTGTGCAAAAAAAAAGTATGCACGCACAAAGTTTACTCCACAGTAATACAAACCATAAATTGAGTACTCCCTGGCTATAAAAGAAACTTAAATGTTACCTCATTTTATAATAAAGCAATTAATTTTAAAGCCTTGAAAATAAGACACAAGCTTAAATTTGAAAAATCTGAAACAATTCATCCAAACCTCTTATACTCGCAACTATTACATGATTGAGACCCACAAAGCAGATCAAATTTTTAAAAATCGCCTATAATTAGACTTTACTGAGTAACCAGAAAGGTTAGGATTTTAAGCATTCTGACAACATACTGATGTTACATTTATAACACTTTGCTATATATAATGCTGACTTACCAGGGGGTTGGTCTTGAATGTTTAAGTTGTGTTCATTTCCCAAGTGTGAATCTGACTTTGATTTTGGTTTTGGTTTCAAAGAAGGGAAGAATTTCATCATCAGGTCCGATGGAAGAGGAGGACTTGTGCCTCTGCTGGATTGGCTCAAGTCTTCCTTCTTGACTGATGCAATCTTCCTTTTTACTGTTTTGTCTAGTACACATATTTCACTCCTATTAGGGTAGGTGGTCTGGGGAGTTCCATAAATGGCTTCATTCCCAAGCATAACATCATGTTTAAATGAATTCTCAAGATCGGTCCAAGTTCTTTCATCATCAAAGTCAATTTTATTCACACTTAGAGATGAGGGTCTTCTTGAGGACTCAGAACCTTTATTTTTCAAGCTTTCTGTTATGATAGACTCATCACTACTATAATCTTTATCAGACAAATCCAAATCCACATCTCTCCTCTTATCCTCTTCTTGAGTCTCAGTGTTCCTGAAAGGTCCCTTACCATCACAGACTTGTGGGCTATCTTCCCTGCTGCTCAAACTCCTTTTGCTATCCTCAGTTGATGGCTTTATGATAATGCCCCCTTGTTCCTCGGAGTCAGTGCTACTGTCACTGTTCATTACACCATCTTTGCTTGCATTCAACCTCATCTGATTTTCAGAAGTGCTCATTTGGAACACTTTTTTACTGACTTTACAAGACAGTCCCCCAAATCCATCAGATGAGGAAGCTGAATTAATTTCTTTGGGTGCAACCTCACACTCACCCTCATTTTCACTTTCAATATGGTCTGGATGCTCATTTTGATTACACTGATTAATGAGACCCAGTGTTGTCATCTTTTGCTGCTGCACAGCTTTGACAGGGGTAGAAGACAACCGGTGATCTTTGCAGATGTGTTGGTCCCTCTCTAAGATCTTCAGTACAAATGAGGAATTGCTGGAAAATGATATTTCATCAGCAGCTTGTTCTAAAAACAAAAATTCATCTAATTCCAAATTTTCCTTTTCCTTTTCTCGTTCCCAATTCTCTAACTTTTTCTGAAGAGAAATGTCAAGAGAAGATGCTGACTCTTTCAAGGCCTCACTTATTGGGCTCTTAGAAGCCATGGAGCCAACCAGCCCTGTCAAAAGGGGAAGTCTGTCTTTAATTTGTGTGTTATTCCAGACTTTGCAACCAATATCACAAGGTTTTGAACACTCAGGTTCATTTTCTTTATTAGATTCTACTTTTTTTTCTAATTTGATCTGGTCTCTAAATTGCCCATCACATTTCTTCCCTGACAGTATTTTCAATCCTGATGGAAAGAGACCTTTCCTATTATTACTGGTAAGCACTTTTGGCTTCTGACTGAGTGTGACAGAACCACTCTTGGTTCTAGCTTTATTGCTCTTTTTAGCAGGAGGGTTCTCTGTACATAGTTCTTTATTTATAAAAGCAGTTTTCCGATGGAATTGCTGTCTTTCTATTTTAAACACAGCTTGGTCCTCTGAAATGCTCTGATTAGTCACTAGTTTACTGTCCCTCCCTTTCTGAAACTTAGATTTAGCATTAGTAAACCTAGCTAAACCTTCTCCTCGTTTTAAGAATGGCTGTTTTGGTTTTGCTTTGATTAGCAATGATCCTTCTGCTTCCTACAATAAAGAACAAAATTTGAATTAATTCTGGTATATTAGTTATAAACAAATCTCTAGTCTTAGATAATTTAATCAAATAGTGGTGATGCTAACCCTTAGCTGTTTCCGTTTCAAGTCTTGTTCTTCCAACTGAATTTGTTCTTCCAAGTAGTCTTCAAATGTCTGTTTCCTTTCTCTAATAGCAGCTTTAATAGGCCTAATCATAAAAATAAAGTTATTTAACATGCAAATCATGATGTGGTAAATATTTTACACTTAAGTGTGCTTGATACATACTCCCAACTACATTGAAAACTAACCTTTTTCAAAATCACAGCTCCCCTGTGAAAATGTTTTTCATGTTGAAAAACAAATTTTTATTGTCTAGAAATATATATTTAAAAATTCCCCACAGCCCTAGCCAGTTTGACTCAGTGGTTAGAGCATGAGCCTGAGGACTGAAGGGTCCTGGGTTCTATTCCGGCCAAGGGCACATACCTCAGTTGCAGGCTCCATCCCCAGCCCTGGTCGGGGCACGGGAGGGAGGCAACCAATCAACATCTCTCTCTCTCTCACATCCATGTTTATCTCTCTCCCTCTCTCTCTCTCCCTCCCCCCGACCCCTCTTCCATTCTCTCTGAAAAAGCAATGGAAAAAATATCCTCCAGTGAGGATTTAAAGAAAACACTCCTCACAAAAGATGCTCTTTTCTCATTTCTCCTTCTTCCTCTTCTTCAACACCCCTGATATAAAGGACATTATTACACCTTATTAGAACTTCACCCAGGTGTCCAGACAAGGCTCCATCTATGTATTCTGTGTTTGCAAGCTGCAAGTTCATATAGCCATTTACAGGTACCAGGTAGCCTTTGTACTCCATTCCCCACTTAAGTTTCACCACTACTGGCTTTACTATTCATCCACTGAGGATGGTTTGGGATTGCGGGGAAAATTCATCTCAACAACAAACAAATGCTGTAGGCTACTTGCTGTGACCCAGCTGTGATCCGTTCCTCGTGCCTGGAACACCACACCCTTTGAAAATGTAATGAAAGCTACAATCCCACTCCATCTCCCAAAATACAGAAATATACAATTCTCTACAGGATTTGAAAAAATCCTTCTGAAGTCCATCTGTTGACCTTAGATTAACTTTTGAAGTAACATATTCATTATATAACTTTAAAATATATTTCAAAAATAGTTCATTATATACATATTTGTTAATTTAAAAAGATCCTTAACAATGTAAATAGAGCAACAATAAAAAAAGTCATCTGCACCCTGGCCAGTGTGGTTCAGTTGGTTGGAGCATCATCCCATACACCAAAAGGTGGTGGGGCCCGGCCGGGCATGGCTCAGCGGTTGAGCATCGACCCAGGATCCAGGAGATGGAGGTTCGATTCCCGGACAGGACACATGCCTCGGTTGCAGGCTAGGCAGCCGATCAGTGACTCTCTCATCATTGATGTTTCTATCTCTCTCTCTCCCCCTCCTTTCCTCTCACTAAAATCAATAAAGATATGTTTTTTTAAAAAAAAAGGTGGTGGGTTCGATTCCTGGTTAGGGCACATACCTTGGTTGCAGGTTTGATCCCCAGCTGGGGCGTGTGTGGGAGGCAGCTGACCCATGTTTCTCTCTCACACTGATGTTCTCTCTCTCTCCCATTGTCTCTCTAAAATCAATAAAAATAAACTTTCTTAAAATCATTTGCCCATCAATAACATATATTAAAATAGTTCAAATATTTAAGAAAATAATAAACAACTTCAATATTGGTATTTTATCTATGTCATAAAGTTTTTAAATTCTGTAACAAGACTTACACAATTTTAATTTATAAGTGATGCCAAATGTGAGACTCCAATTTTTTCTCTTCTCCAAAATAAGATTTACCTAACTATTTGAGAGATTAATTTTATCCAGATATTTGTTAGGTGAGAAGTTTGCTCAGTTCTTCCAATACAATGTCAAAGCCACTTAAACTGATGTTATCTCCCCAACCTCTCTGTTGCTAACAGTATGTGATAAATTGTATTTTCAGCCTTACACCTAAAAGCACCTTCAAGCAAAAACAAGAAAACTATGACTCTTTCAAAAAAAGAAAGTGCTCAATAATAATGGCTGGCTATTATATTAAATTATCACATTTCTTATTCCTTTTAACACGGATTATACCTTTCTTCATTATTAACCACTTCTGAGGAATCGGCAATTTTTTTTAAGTTCACATCATTCCCTTCCTGAATCTGGTTTGTCATTTTCTCCCAACATGGTAAAATACCTTCACCTAGGATAAAAAATAGGAACAATTTAGTTCAAAAAAAGCAAATTAAAGTCTTAAAACTTGAGAATTTTACAAGTTGCTAAGCTAAAAAAAAAAAAAAAAAATGGTTAAAAGTAAGGTATGCCAAAAATTTCAGAACTCTCAAGGATTTCTTTAATATGATATAGAAAAACTACAAAACCATAATTAAAACACAACATTCTTTAAAAGGTTAATGTTATAAAAAAAAAAAGTGTGAGCTTTTCTAAATTAAAAAAGACTAAAGAGTTAAAACAGCTGAATGTAATATATGATTGGCTTCTGGTTTTATAAAAAAAAACACCCACAGACAATAGTGTGGTGAAGATCTAGGGTGGGGGTGGGTGCAGCGTAGAAAGGGTCAATGGGGAAAAAATGGGGACATCTGTAATACTTTCAACAATAAATTTTTTTTTTAAAGGCATTTTTGAGATAATAGGGAGAATTCTAAAATGGATTTGAATATCAAAATTATTGTTAGTGTCCCTAGGTATAATAATAGTTTTGTGGTAATACAAAAGAATGTCCTAATTTTTACTTGATGCATGCTGAAAAATTTGAAATGACTCAGCAAACTATATATAGATGTAGACAGAGATATAGGTATCAACATAGATATATATACACACAGACAAATATATATAGACAGAGTAAATATGGCAAATTATTAACTGTTAAATCTAGGTGGTAGGTATACTGGTAATCATTGCAGTGGCCTTTCAAGTTTTCTAGATGTTTGAAATTTTCCAATATAAAAGGTGTATTGTATTATGTAATTCCATATCAAGGAATTGCTCTGAATTAGGAATAAAATATTATGCACAATACTACGTAGTAAGCATAGATACCTCATCATATTATTTGTAGTTTTCTGTAACTTAACTCAAAAGAATATATTCTTGAAAACTGGAAATTAAATTAAAAATTTAAATACTGAAAACTACTTAGTATTTCACAACATTATATACTGATATATTACCTGGCTAACATAATGATGAAATCATTAAAATTATTATTATAAAGACTACCATAATCATTTTCCATGTTGAGTGGGAAAGAACACTATTATATAATATTCTATAATTACAAAATGTGAAATGGGGAGCAGAAAAAAAGACCAGAAAAAAAAATATATCAGAAATCACATGAGAGCTCTATGAGTTTAGATCATCAGACACTGAGTGCCAGTTCTGTGGCAAGAACATGCTGGGTACTAGGAATACAGACATATGGTGAAGACAAAATGAGGGTCTGTGTTAGGGGAGATTTTTTATGAGTAATAAGTCCCATCACCAACCTTTTTCTCACATATTACATCTTCTATCAAGTGCCTCCACCACCACACACATTTTAAATCAACCTCAAACTATTTCTAAGCTCTCAAAGAAAAATGGTTCAACAGAACTTTTTGCCTTCATTTTGGAAGTCCCCAAGCTACCACACAAGGTTTGAAGTCAGCATGAGTACTGAGATTGTTCTTGGAAAGTCACAAATTCTGTGTCTGACTCCAATTCAGGATTAGGAGCTGTGCAGCATGTAGGACCTCACAATTAAAGCCAAGAGCACAGAAGAAAAATATATAAAGGACTCTTCTTGTCGTAGGACAACTTGGTAACACTCTTGGTTAAGTGCAGAAGAGAGAAATACAAGTAACTCACCTTTAGGATGATTATGGTTTTCTTCCTTCAAATCATTTTTTTTCACAAGTGTTTCTTGATATTGTGCCTCATAAAACAAACTAGGAGAAGCGTCACTTTTTGAAGTTGAGACAAAATCTTGATGAGTAGTTCTACAGAAGTTATTTGGTTCACAGGACAAAATGTTGGAAGTGTATGTTTTTCCTTGGGTTTGATTCTGGTAGATATGTGATGGTAAGAAGGGTTTGGGTTTCTCTATGGTGGCTGAACTTCCTGGAGATCTGTACTTCTGACTCTGATCATCAGGCAGTAGAGTTAAACCTTGCAATTAAGAAAATCAATAAACTGATGAGTCTCTATAACATTTTTGTTTCTACCCATTAGTGATCCCACCACAAAGTTTTCTCCAAAGTGATAACAGTGTTTTTTTCCTCCTTATTAGGAAACTGTGTTTAACAAAATCATAAAATTTTAAAAGTCCAAAATGACTCTTGAATCATTTTAATTGAGAACATGTTTACACTGATTCATGTGCAGACCATGTGTACAAGGCAGAGCTGCAGCACAGCCTACCTCTGTAAGGCACCACTTGTGTGCCAACTGTGACAAGCACTCCTCAGCTCTGCAGCTCCATGACAAATACAGTTAAACAGCTTCAATGCAGATAATTACAAATGATCTGAACTATTCCCTAATGGTCATGCTCTGTGTCACCGCATATAAAAGTATCTTCCCTTCAGATTACCACTGACGTTTTGGTATCCTCAGGCAATGGAATTATAGGCAATTTTTCTGTTTTTAACTTTTCTGTAGTTTCTCAATTTCCTGTATTATTCTTCTGTTTTCTTTCTTAAGTCTCTGCTTTTCAAATAACCCAATAAAGAGAGATTCCCCAGTATCTCTTGGAGGGCAGATGACAATACTAGCCATCCTGCCTGTTGTACCAGCCCCTTGATATCCTGCTGCTACCCCTCTAATTCTCCAATTGTTTCAACTAAATTTAGAGTGAAGACAGGATGGAAAGTGTTTTATAAAAGAATTGTGCCACCTATCTACCTCACTCCTAGCCCACAAAAAAAAACTGGACATCAGGTAGATCTTCATTAAATATCCAGTTCGACTTCCCTTCCTTTATTTTATAACAATACTCCTCCCATTTAAATTATTTTTGACTAATGGTCATCCCACTTCAACCTGAACATATCACTGACAAAAGAGCAATATCCCAAAGGAGCAGTTTCAAAGGGTGGTCTATAAACCCCTGGAGGTCTCCAAGACTCTTTCAGGACATTAGGTAACAGGTCAAAACTATTTTCATAAAATATTAAGACAGCCCAGCCAGGCATGGCTCAGCAGTTGAGCATCAACCTAGGATCCAGGAGATCATGGTTCGATTCCCGGTCAGGGCACATGCCCGGGTTGTGGGCTTGATCCCCAGTCGCAAATGTGCAGGAGGCAGCAGATCAAATGAGGACTCTCTCATCATTGATGTTTCTATCTCTCCCTCTCCCTTTCTCTCTCTCTGAAATCAATAAAGATATATTTTTTAAAAATTAAAATAAAGCCCGGCCGGGTGTGGCTCAGCAGTTGAGCATCAACCTAGGATCCAGGCGATCGGGGTTTGATTCCCGGTCAGGGCGCATGCCCGGGTTGTGGGCTCGATCAATGACTCTTTCATCATTGATGTTTCTGTCTCTCTCTCTCTCCCTCTCCTTTTCTCTCTCTGAAATCAATAAAGATATATTTTTAAAAATTAAAATAAAATAAAATATTAAGACAGTATTTGCATGTTTCACTGTGCTGACATAGGCACTGACAGTGCAAAAGCAAAGTGGAAACTCATGGTGCCTTCACTCAAAAGCAGGACCACAGGACATAACTGTGCCAGCAATCACTGTATTCATCGTCACCATGCACTCAGTTGTTTTTTTAATCCGCAGCCGAGTATATTTTTTCCACTGCTTTTCAGAGAGAGTAGAAGGGAGAAAGAGAGAAAGATGGATGTGAGGGAGACACACCAATTGGTTGCCTCCCGCATGTACCCAGACCAGGGCAGGGATCAAGCCTACAACCAAGGCACATGCTCCTGGCCAAAATTGAACCCGGAACCCTTCAGTCTGTGGGCTGACACTCTAACCACTGAGTTAAACTGGCTAGGGCTGCACTTGGTTTGGTTTTTTTAAGTTTTATTTAAGAATTCAGACAGGATGAGCCTCTGTTAAACAGATGGGAATGCTCTTCAATTTTTTATTTTTTGAGCCTCTCTTAAATAAGTTTAAAGTTTCTCATCAGACACTCCCCAAAAAGCTCCACTCTGCACATGCACTGGTGGACACCCACCCGCAAAACCAAAGGGTTCCTGGAAAGCAAAGAAATCTACCCTGAGCCTGAGTGAAGAACCAAGCCATATATAAGCCAGACCCTGGCAGCAGTTTGGGGAGCCACTGACTTTTAGAGAAAGTGGAAGGGAGGCAGGGAAGGGGAGAGAAGAAACGTTGATGTGGAAGAGATACATCGACTGGTTGCCTCCTGCACACTCCCTGATTGGGGCCAGGAATGGAACCAGCAACGCAGGTACATGCCCTTGACCAGGGGTCAAACCCGCAACCCTTTGATACAAGGGTCAACGCCCTAACCACTGAGCCACACAGGCCAGGGCGGGGAGCCATATTCTTTATTAGTGTGTGCTCCCTTTCTCCTTTCCCTCTAGTTTGTTTCAGTAAACCCCTTCTTGTGGAACTGTTTCGCCTCCCTTCTTGATTTCTATCTTGGGGGAGGGGCGGCAAGAATCCCATCTCTGGTGACATCCAAACTCCCTAAACCATTCTTATTTGCCTCATTCTCATCCTCACCACTCCCAAGTCCCACTCAGCCACACTCTGCACACTCATTTGCCATTGTCTTTTCTTCTTTGTATTCTCAATGCCCATGCAACCTCAGAACACAACAGCACTGTCTTGAATCAGTAAAGTGTGTCTCTTCAAAGGTAGCACCAAGCAGACCCCCATAACTCCATATCACTGGGTTTCAAACTGTGGGACACAATCCATTAGTCATTTTATCACGAGATGCAACAGGTCATGACTGGCACTTTTTTTTTAACATAGAATAAACAAAATAAAAAATATTCTTGTTACATGCCAGGCACACCAATAAAGACAGATTTATGAAATTTCTTTGAAATCAAAATGTTTTTGTTACTATAAAGTATGATAAACACACTTTCAAAACCACTGCTCCAGACACACTTCAACAGGCTTTTCCCATGATAAGCACATCATGCTATTTATGGACTGAGCATATAACAAAAGAATTCTGTCATCCGCTGAACAAAGAAATGTTTCTAGTATGGTTCTTTAGCTGAGTAGAGTGGCTTCCACACATATTTACCCCTACAATCCAGAGCAGTTTTTCATTCATCAGCTATAATATATAAACCAGGAGCCTTAGGCCAGCTTTGGTTCTGGATCTTTTATTCTACTAAGTCTTCTTTAAATTTTATAAGTAAATGTGAATGTCTTTAAGGATACAAATGTTCCAGAATGGCACAGCTTTCACTTGTCCCAATTAGTTTACACCACCACTGTTTCAATTATCTGCCTCGCCTCTAAGAAACTGGCGTTTGCAACATATGATAGAGAATAGTAGAAATAACCTGTCAAACAATTCATGGTAAGAAATGTGTGTAACTGCCAATCATTGTACTAACTGGAAGTCCTATGTAAGCAAAAAATACCTGAGAGTGTGCGCTGCCCAGACACCATAGTGAGCAGCTTTTCTTGCTCTTCCATGAGTCTTTGCAGTTGCTCCAACTGTTGCCTCTTCAGTTGTTCCTGCTTCTTCTGCTGCACCTCTTTCAGCTTTTTAAATATAAAATTAACTTTATTAAACTAACTTTACATTTCTTTATGAACCTTCGCTCTTTACCTTTATTTTAATCCCTCCCATCTCCCTTCTTACATCTTCCCTAATAAAGAGTTTCAAAGAGGGATCTCAAAGTAACTAAATCTGCCACTAAAACTCTAAAATCCAATTTTTATGATGGAAACCATATTGACTCTCTCAACTAAGAAACAGAAAAAGTCAAATAAATCCTTTGATTCTTAAAATATAGTAGGTAATCAGTACATTTATGATCAACTTTTTCCTCTAATTATTTGGTCAACAATTTCTAATTTAGTTTTTACCAAATGAGGTAGAAACTAGGAGATATTATCTTAAATGCTATGTCTTACATAACAAATATGCTTTAATGTCTCACATTAGACAAAAAGCAAAATTGGGTTATTTTGAGTACTTCATATTAAAGGGGAAGAAACAAGAGGGCCTGAAACTGGTGACTTTCATCATAGACAAAAACTTGCAATAACATAAATACATATTAGGCCAAGTCCTGGTGTACCTGTTCAAGCTTTTTAAAAAGTGGGTCTTTATAAGCCACTTCTTTGAATTCACTCACAAGATCTGAGATAAAGTCACTTTTGTTATCTTCCCAGTGTCCAGGAGCATCCTGACATGCCACTGGTTGTGGTCCCTCTTTAGGTAAAGGAAAGAGTGCATGTGTTTCAGATTTATCTGACTGTAGTTTAGAAGGGCTGTGAGACTCCAACTTCTCTTCTTCACGAAGTGAATCGTCTTCACTTATAAAGTTCAAGCTATTTGAGAACTGTGTGGCTTTAACAGGAAAGCTGGTGGAAATGTTCACATTTGCTCGCTTCTCTTCATCTGCTTCCAAAATAGGAAATCCACGATTTAATATGACTCCAGCCCGAGAAGGATTGGTCATCCACTGGGTTAGGAAGTTCTGCCCACTGTTTAACTCTGAAGAGGCGGGCATCAGGAACATTTTATTCCAATTTTCTACTGTATTTAAATAATGCAAAAACTAGAAGAGCTATTAATTTCCAACACCTGTAGAAGACAGTCAACAAAAAGTATTAAAAATATCCTACACAAACCTTGACCCAGCACAAAAAAGCTTTTGAATATTTCATATGCAAAAGATTTTAACTAGCTTCTGGATATTTAAGACTTGGATAAAATATCTTAAAATCCAAGTTCAATGGATCAAAAATCTAAGTTCCCTTCTCATCTAATCATTCTGATGATTTTATACAAGTGCTAGACCAGTTGACCTAACACTATGGGAGTTAAACCACCTTCTAAGATATTCGATTACCAAAGAGGGAAAAAAGCCACTCTCAATATCAAACACCCACATTAAGCACTTTCATGCTTCTGGCCCTAGTACAACATACCTTCTCTGCCTAGCTGGGGAACCCATGCTCTCCCTAATTCCAGGACAAAACTCACCCCCCCATGGCTTTACCTGGCACTGCTTCCCACTGTCCCTTACTCCTTCAATATCCTAACCCCTCATTCACCAGGCAGTCCCTCATCTGTATGCCTAGAGGTCTCTGTTATCACTGCTTTGGCATTCATCCCACTATAGGTGGTATCGTGCTTTTGTGTTCATAATCTACCCAGCTGTGAGTTCCTTAAAGATATCTGTATATTCACCATTGCCCAGTACCATTCATTCCAGGTAAATAGAAGAAACTTGATAAATATTTGCTAAAATTAATTTAAATTAAATCACAACTAAGGTTATATTATTGAAAATTCAATATTATAAGGTATCATTTGTGTTCAGTCAATGTTCAACAATAAAAATAACACTGGTTCAGCCCAGCTGGGTGTGACTCAGCAGCTGAGCATCGACCTATGATCCAGGAGATCGTGGTTCGATTCCGGGTCAGGGCACATGCCTGGGTTGCAGGCTCAATCCCCAGTGTGGGGCATGCAGGAGGCAGCCAATCAATGACTCACTCATCATTGATGTTTCTATCTCTCCCTCTCCCTTCTTCTCTCTGAAATCAATAAAGATTTTTTTTTTTGAATAAAAAAATAACTGGTTCATACCATACGACAGCTACTCTATATGAATCATACTCTAAAATAAACAATTTCCTAATGCAATAAATGTAAACGGGACATGGCAAAGAACATAAGCCGTTCCTCCTTTGTATGTCTGATTTTCCTCAACAAGTATTTATTTTCTTACTCTGTGCTAGACATTGTTTTAGGATGGGTATATATATAGCAGTTAATCAGTCAATCTAGTCTAGTGGTGAAAATACACATACATAAAAGTAAATTACACAATGTTAAATAGTAATAAGTACTAAAGAGAAAAATAAAGGCCATGTAGGGGAAGGAGACTGCACATTTAGATAGCGTGAACAAGGAGTCCTCACTTAGAGGATAAAATTAAGGATCTGGCCCAGCTGGGCGTGGCTCAGTGGTTGAGCGTCGACCTAGGATCCAGGCAATCAGGGTTCGATTCCCAGTTAGGGCACATGCCTGGGTTGCGGGCTGCAGCCGATCAATGACTCTCTCCTCATTGATGTTTCTATCTCTCTCTCTCTCCCTCTCCTTTCCTCTCTCTGAAATCAAAAAAGATATATTTAAAAAAAAAAAAAAAGTTAAGGATCTGGCAGAGGAGAGGGAGCGAGTGGTACAGCTATAAGGGGCAGAGTCAGACCTAGCCACTTCATAACCTTCATCTGCAAAACACCCCCCCCATGCCAATTCCTTCAGAATCCCACTTCTCATAGTCCCCATCACCACTATCCACCTTCAATTCTCCAGGATTAATCTCATGTGTTTAAACCTATTTACATCAGTCATCACAAAAAGGCTCTGAATCCCAAACCACCCTTTATCTCATATGCAAATTCCCACACATATGCTTTAATTCTGTCTCTATCTCCCAAGCATCTCCAGTGCAAAAACACTCACTGTCCACCACCGGCAAAATCTCCTATTATCCTTAACCTCTTCTCTCACTTTCCTGAGAGCACGTCTCCCTATGGCGCCCATACCCTTATACCACTGAGCCTGGAAGTAGATAATGTGTTTTCCATCTTGTTCTTTTCTGTTTCTAGACTATAGTCCCTTCATCCACCATAAAAAGTGCCCAATTCTGGCCCTCCTTTTGGCCAGAAATGTCATCTTCCAGTAATTCACCAAAATGACTAACACAAAGGGAAAGTGGAAAGGCACCCACTATATGTTATCTAGAGGCCTTTAAGAAAACATGGGAGTTGTTCCTTTCACCACATACATGCCAATCTACAAGAAAGGTGATACTGTAGACATCAAGGGAATGGACACTGTTCAAAAAGGAATGCCTCAGCCCTGGCCAGTGTGGCTAAGTGGTTAGAGCACTGCCAGCGCACCAAAGGGTCGTGGGTTCGATTCCCAGTCAAAGTCACATACCTGGATTGCAGGTTTGATCCCCAGCCCCAGTTGGGGCACATGCGGGAGGCAACCAATCAGTGTGTTCCTCCTCACATCGATGTTTCTCTCTCTCTCTCTCTCCCCCCCTCACTCCCTCCATTCCACTTTCTCTAAAAATCAAAGGAAAAAATATCCTCGAATGAGGATTAACCAAGAAAAGAAATACCCCACAAATGTTATCATGGCAAAACTAGAAGAGTCTACAGTGTCACCCAGCATACATACAGTGGGCACTGCTGTAAACAAACAAGTTAAACAGGAAGATTCCTGTCAAGACAACTAATGTAGCCCTAGCCAGTATGGCACAGTGGTTAGAGTGTCAGCCTGCACACAGAAGGGTTATGGGTTTGATTCCTGGTCAAGAGCACGTACCTGGGTTGCAGGTTCGATCCCTAGCCCCAGGCAGTGCACACGCGGGAAGCAACACATCAATATTTCTCACTCTCTCCCTCACTCTCTCCAAAAATCAATGGAAAAAATATCCTCAGGTGAGGATTAACCAAAAAAATAGAAAGAATTAATGTACATATTAAGTATATTGAACACTGTAAGAGCTAAGATAGCTCCCTGAAATGTGTGAAGGAAAATTACCAGAACAAGGAATCCAAAGAGAAAGGTACTTGGGTTCAACTGAAGCACCAGCCTACTCTACCCAGAGACGCACACTCTTTTTGAGAACCAATGAAAAGGAGCCTGAGCTGCTAGAACCCACTCCCTATGAATTCATGGTATGATAAATGTAAAAAAAAAAAAGAGCCAGATAACGCCAAGGTTGTAGGTTTGACCTCCACTCGGCACATACAAGAAGCACCAATAAATGCATAAATAAGTGAAACAACAAATCAATGTTTCTCTTTCTCTCTCCCCCCCCTTCCTTTCTCTCTAAAAACCAATTAATCAATAATTTTTTTTTTTTTTTTTAAAGTACCAATTTGGGCCTCATTTGATGAGACTATATAAACTACTACTACTCCTTTAAGGACTATGAAACCTCCAGAGGTTACTGGGATCCTCCCCTTTATTCCTTAAAATTTTCTGGTTGAGCAACTGAAAGAACAGAGTTGCATTAACTGAAATGGAGAAAACTAGGGATGAAACAGGTTTGGGGGAGTTCAGAGATGAATTTAGGACATTTTAAGATACCTATCAGACATCCCAGGAGACACATCATATAGGTAGCTGGACACACAAGAATGTAATTCATGGAGGCCAAGTCTGTGAAGGGCAAATGTGGGTATCCTCAGCATGAAGATGGTATGAAACCACATACTCTGGATGAAACCACAAAGGGAATGTGCATAGACAAAAAAAGAGATGTAAAAACTGTAGTGTCCTTGAAGCCAAGTGAATGAAGAAAGCATCTCAAGGAATAAGGGGATATGTCAATGCTATTAACAGATAAAGAGGTGAGGAAACTGAGAACTGACCTCAGAATTTAGCAAAGCAAAGGTCATAACTTGAAAGCAGCTGAGGGGAAGAGGCAAAAGCCTGAATGGAGAGGATACATGAAAGAAACTAGAGACAGTGAGTATAGTTCATTCCATGAGTTTTGTTATAAAGGGAAGGAAATAAATAGCTGCATAGGGAAGCAGGAAGAAGAGAGATGTATATTTTTTAAGACAGATGAAATAGCCCTCATGTGTGTAACTCGGTTGGAGCATCATTCAATACACCAAAAGATGGCAGGTTAGATTCCCAGCCAGAGCATGTACGGGAGGCAACCAATCAATGTTTCTCTCTCACATCAATTGTTTTTTTCTCTCCCTTCCCCTCTCTCAAAAAACCAGTAAAAATATATCCTGGGGTGAGGTTTAAAAAAAAAGGGCAGAAGAGATGCAGAGAAGATGGTAACTGAATAGGCAGACCTTTCTTGCATCTCCTCCCAGGGCCAGACTGAAAATAAAACTAAATTGGGGAACATTCACCCAGAATTACCAACTGAGGTCCAGCTGAGGAGATTTATATAAAGGAAGGACAGAAAATAGCTAGAGACTGCACCTCCACAACAGTTCACACGACATGGTCAGGGGTGAGCCCCACAGTAAGCCACCCTGAGAGGAGATTCCATCCACAAATGGAACAACATCATTCAAGACACAGTTACAACTGGAGAACCCAAATAACATAGACAGGGGCATTTAAGACCACTCCACGAACTGGGAGGCACAGGAGTACACAGAAATAAATACAAAGAGACAGCAAAAATGGAGATACAAAGAAACAACCCCCAAAAGAAAGCAAAGGAGAGATCGCCAGAAAAGGAACTAAATGAAATGCAGGCAAGCAATTTGTCAGTCAGAGAATTCGAAGTAATGGTTATGAGGGTGCTCAAACAACTTAGTGAGAACTACAAGCAACTTACTGAGAACTGTATGAAACCTAATGAGAACTACACCAGCATAAATAAAAAAATAAAAATAAAAAAAAAAGAGGTAGAAACCATGAATAAGAATCAAGCAGAAATGAAGAATGACATAGCTGAAATAAAGAATACCCTGGCATGGACAGACATGGCTCAGTGGTTGAGCATCAACCTAGGATCCAAGGTTTGATTCCCTGTCAGGGCACATGCCTGGGTTGCGGGCTCGATTCCCAGTCAGGGGCGTGCA